GCAACATCACGGGCACCAGTCCCAACCAGGACTCCTTACCGGAACCAGAATTGTCCATAGAAATGGCCGGTCAGACTGATGTCGCGACAGGTTATCCTCCTATCCTCAAGAAATGCAGTTGAGGGCCAATGGAACACAGTACATCGATACAATATGGATGTATGTTGCGCAGTACCGCTGTTTGGTAGAATTGTATCCTGAATCCGTATGATAAATTTTATCCTGGATCCGTTTGACAGAATTAATAAATGCACTCGAGGGCCAATGGCACACATTACTTCTATACAATAACTGTGCTGCGCAGCATCACTGGTTGATAGAATGTATTCTGAATCCGTATGATTCTATAGAATTTCTGCGACTGAATTTATCCCGGGGAACGTTGCGGTGTGCGCGACTTCACGTCATTTCGTGGCGGAGCCATTGTAGTCTAGTTTTCCACTGCAAGTCCTGTCCCACAGTGGAACTACGTGGAACTACCCACAGCCACGCCCAGGCGTCCCCGGTTATCCTGATATTTTGTGATAAACGTTTAACCTTGCAAGTTCATGTCAAACAACACAACTACGCGCGTCTGTTGTTCGTTACCCACCACCGTGCCCAGTCGTCCCCATGGCCTGACGGCCCAGTATCCGTGTGTCCCCGCCCACATGTTCACGGTACACATGCACGCGTCCAAGCTTCATGCACACGCCCATGTTACATCCTCATGTCCCGCGTCCACGCGTCCATGCTACATCCACGTGTGGCTACATCCACGGTGCCACCGTCCCATGCACCCACATGCCCACACGCTCACGCGTCCATGTGCCCTTGCATCCTCGCGTCCTCACGTCCTGGTGTCCTCGTGTCCTAGCATCCTCGCCTGCAACTCGTGTGCGACCCGTGATTCGAACCCGCGACCTGTCGTCCTCGCATCCTCGCGTTTCGGTGTGCAACTCGAAACTCGCGGAGTGCGACTCGAACCCGCGACCTCTGATTGTGAAGAGGGCGCGCGCTAACGAAAACGCAAAGCTCCGGAACCATCCAATCGAGCGCGACTTTCCAACGAGCCCCGGACGCGAGCCGGTCACGGACGCGATTCAGAGATGCCTTCCCTCCGCTTCGCTCTTCGCTGCGCTACGAGAAGCTACGGTGACGAGGCGCGGTCCCTGCGGTCCCGAGGGTGCCGTAGCTCTCGTTCGGGTCCGGTCTGCATATGCTTGCACATCGCATATGCTTGTAGATCGTATATGCTTGCACATCACATAATATGCTTGCAGATCGCATCTGATTGCAGATCGCATATGCTTGCAGATCGCATATGCTTGCAGAGCGCATATGCTTGCAGAGCGCATATGCTTGCACATCGCATATGCTTGCAGATCGCATGCGCTTGCACATCCCATATGCTTGCAGAGCGCATACACTTGCAGATCGCATATGCTTGCAGATCGCATATGCTTGCAGATCGCATATGCTTGCACATCCCAAATGCTTGCAGATCGCATATGCTTGCAGATCGCATATGCTTGCAGATCGCATATGCTTGCAGATCGCATTTGCTTGCAGATCGCATATGTTTGCATACTGCATTGCTTGCATACCGCATATGCTTGCAGATCGCATATGCTTGCAGATCGCATTTGCTTGCAGATCGCATATGTTTGCATACTGCATTGCTTGCATACCGCATATGCTTGCAGATCGCATATGCCTGCGGATCACATATGCTTGCAGAGCACATATGCTTGCACATCGCATATGCTTGCAGATCGCATATGCTTGCAGAGCGCATATGCTTGCACATCGCATATGCTTGCAGAGCGCATATGCTTGCACATCGCATCTGCTTGCAGAGCGCATATGCTTGCACATCGCATATGCTTGCACATCGCATATGCTTGCAGATCGCATACGCTTGCACATCCCATATGCTTGCAGAGCGCATATGCTTGCAGATTGCATATGCTTGCACATCGCATATGCTTGCACATCGCATATGCTTGCAGAGCGCATATGCTTGCACATCGCATATGCTTGCACATCGCATACGCTTGCACATCCCATATGCTTGCAGAGCGCATATGCTTGCAGATCACATATGC